CCTGCTCTTCAGCCAAACAATGCTCCCAGAAGTGGCTTTCAAATGTAAACAATAATACAGTTGATGCCTTCAGGGTCACAGTCGAAAAGACACAACACAAAAGGGAAAGTGGTCAGGAGGGAGAAAGAAAAAAGAAAGCTCAGATGTGAATTTTTATTTACAGAGCTTTTTGTAATTACAAGCTTGAACTGAAATATTTCAAGGGGAGGAGGAGCCAAAAACAGAGCTGATTATCACTCAATTAACCCGGCTGCTACATTTCATGTAACCCTACAAAACACAGGTGAAAGTGGGGTGCATGAAATCATCAGGATTTTTAAAGGTATTTGAATTTTAGCAGCCCCTCACTTAGCCCCTAATGCATCTAAGTTTGTGCATCTAAGTTTTGCCTGATGATATTGTTGTTTGGGAAATATTGGGGTGAGCAAAACAAAGGTCTAGTTTTCCAGTGCGGCACTTTGAAATCTGTAAAAACTAGCAGGAGCTTAATGCAACTCTGGAATCCATCAAATGTCAGGGTGGAATAAACAGGACGGAAAACCCCATAGAAAGCAGCAAGGGTCCACTTTCCACTCTGCCACACAGAGGCAGTCATCCAGGGGCTTGTAAAGTACACAGGACACCATAAACAGCTTGGCTTTAATGGGAAGGGTGTGCTCCAGGAAGAACCCTATCCGATCCTACGTAATTTGCACCCAAAGAGTTCTCTTTCCGCCACGCTGAAATGCTCTGTTTTAGCACACCTTATTTATTTATTGCTGCAGTCAGTAAGTTTCCTTTTCAAAGGTCCACCCAACCCCCAGCAAATTCCACTCCACTGTAGCTGGCATTTACCGTATTGGCCCAAATATAAGCCACACTCCCCCCCCCCCCCCAATTCCAATTGTGAAAAGTCAAGCGCGGCTTATATTCGCAACCTTACGCTGCCAGCAAAGCAAGAGAGCAACCCGAGAGTGTGGAGCAACAGAGCCTGTTCCATCCACAACTCCTGAGCCTCCCCCAAGATGCCAAATTTTAAAGGTGTGACTTATTTGCAGGTGCGGTTTATATTCGGGTCAATACAGTATTGGATTGACTGACCCACTGGGATACAGAATGCACCACCTTTTTTCTGCCCCCCCCCCCAATGCCAGAGGCCTATGTGCCCAACACCTTTGTGCTAGGCCTCTGTGGCTGTGCGACTTTGCTCATCTAGATCAGGATCAGCAAACTTTTTCAGAAGGGGGCCAGTCCACTGTTCCTCAGACCTTGCGGGGAGCATGACCCACCGCCTCCTGAAAGGCCCCCCCACCTATGCCACTCACACCGCAGCCGCCGACGCTGCCTCGTCTTCGGCAGCATCGGCATCCTCTGTCTCAGCAGGGCACAGAGCCCATGCCGCTGGCCTGGGTGGCAGAGGCAGCCTCCATGCCACTGCTGCTTCCCTCCCACTCAGCCGTTTCCTCCCACTTAGCCATTTTAGTGGGAAGAAAGGGGCAGTACCCAGATGCCACTGGCCTGGGTGGCAGAGGCAGCCTCCACACCGCCGCTGCTTCCTTCCTACTCGGCCACTTCCTCCTGCTTGGCTGCCTCAGTGGGAAGGAAGGAGCAGTGCCCAGAGGCGTCCACAGCTTTTGATTGGCTGCAGGAGCTTCCTGCAGCCAATCAGAAGCCATGCCGTGTCGCGGAAGTCAGTTTCCGTGCAGCGAGGCCTCTGCACCGCACCTGTTTAGCGTGGGGACTGACAAAGTGGGCAGCCAGGTCCGCAAGGTTCGTGGGCTGGATTAACGAGCCTGGCGGGCCGTATCCAGCTCGCGGGCCTTAGTTTGACGACCTCTAGTTTGACGACGATCTAGATCTTGTGCAGGCTTTTTTTTCCAAATTACAGAAGTCAGGCAGAATTTCATGAATGCAGCCAACGGTTTTAAGCAAGGTCCTTCCACTGACCTCCCCGTGACACCCGTCTCATGAATAACCAGGTCTGTTGCTGGCCCTCGTGCTTAATTTTCTCTGAGGAAATCTTCTGTTAAGGGGCAACAGTTTTCCATTTCAGTCTGGCAGCACGAGCCAGCTGCTTGTTATTTCCCTTGGCTGAGCCTGACAAGCTAATGGTATGTTTGATTCGTGCTACAAGTTCCTGCGAGGGACCTTGTTCCTTGCTGAGGGCATCATGGCTCTTGTAACAGAGGCCGCTCTTGCGTCACTGCTTTATTTATTATATTTTTATCCCACTTTTTTCAGACACAGGTTACCTCCTGAGTCAGCTTGCAGCAATTCAGGTGCTGTAAAGGAGAAAGTGGCCCTGCCCTCAGGCTTACAGCCTAAGACAGGGTTAGCCAGCATGACACCTTCTAGATGTGGTAGACTCCAGCTCCCAGCACATCTAGATGGGACGCATGAGGGGAGACGGAGGTAGAGGAGAAGACTAAGTGTAAGCATGACCCCCCCCCAAATCACTATTCCATTTGTTTTATTATAACCAGAGATAACCAATGGTGTCCTCCAGATGTTTTCATACTGCAGCTCCCATAAACACCCTGCCAGCATGGTCTGGGATAAACATAGTTGTAATTCAACAGCATCTGGAAGGCATAAAATATAGTTTTTACTTTGTTGGTTATCAATTAGAGCAAGAGATGACCACTTTGTACCCTCCAGATATTTGTGACTACCCTTCTACTCAGCCCCGGTGAGCACAGTCAGTGGTCAGAAATTATGTGGGTTGTAGCCCATAATTCTGGTGAGCTAACCTTGCATTAGAATTCCATTCGTTTAATTAATCATTCTTAGCCTCTTATTCATTTTGTTACTTTAGTTTTGGTTTCTGGTCTTCTTCAACAGGTTTTGTTTTGTTTTGGTTTTTTGCTCTGTTTTTGCTGCAGCCTCCATGTGGTTGTGTATTTTATTTCAGTGTTCATTCCTGGTGCCTGCCATTTTGTTTCCCCAGAATGCCTCACTTCTCAGGAAGTCCCCATTGATGCCTGCCATTTTTTGCTATTGCTATTTTTTCCATAATGCACTGGAATACTACAATATCTGTGCTGTTCTGATAAAACAAAGTGGCAACCATCAGGGTGGCTGCCCAAATCAGCTCTGTTATCATCCCCATCATCAGAATTCTAACCTGAGGTGATGATGCAGAAAACTTTGTACACGGTCTCTTCACATTATGCTTTATACAAACCTTGTAAGCTTCTTAGAAGGATATGAAAATCCAAGATTTTCTAAGAAAATCTCAGATTTTTAAAAAATGTTGCAGGCCTCAGGTCTGTGAAGAAAAAAAAACCAATGTATTCCATAACCAGATACTTTATGATCTGAACTGGTTGGGAATGCTAGTGTAAATAATTCTGGGGTTGTTTCGTCTCAGAGCCAGGGCAATTCAGAACTGAGCCACTTTGGATCACAGATCTGAACCTCCAGCCAATGGAGTGGGGTGAATTTATGTTCATATATTGAAGCCTGGGACTGTTCAGACATCTGTTTTTCCAATACGGCATTTGCTTTAATAAAGTAGCCTGGTCCAGCGAGGTTTGTTGCTTTGAAGTCCTAAGATTCATAAAAGCTGTCCGTTGCTGTTTATGAGATTGTTTTCTCTCTCAATATCTTTCTTTGTTTACATGAATGGCAGTCAGAAGATGGCATTATTAGAGAATCTGCTCCCAAGATCTGCTGCTCACTTTGGGAGCAGAAGCCTTATTTGCTCCTCGTGCTTTCAAGCAGAGATGAAAGATTGTAAAAGCGCTCTCTATTGTCCCAAGGGAATCGCAGCTCACAAAAAGGGCCTTGTAACTGCTTTGCAGCGGCTATTTTACTTCTCAGAGGAGATATTTACTGGCCCAGTTTCTTCCTGTGGCACTTAACAAACAGTGGCCTCAGACTTTAATTTTCATCTGGCTATGAAGTTAAGGAACCGAAGAAAGCAAAACTAGAAAAGTGTCTCACACACCAACTCAGGCCAACCTACGCAAGAGTCAGTGTGACATAGTGAACAAAAGTATTGGGCTAGAAACCATTGTTTAGTCAAGAAAGCTCCCTGGGTGACCAATCTGGCACCCGCCTAATTTACCACACAGGACACGGGTGGCGCTATGGGTAAAACCACAGAGCCTAGGACCTCAGAAGGTCGGCGGTTCGGATCCCACGACGGGGTGAGCTCCCATTGCTCGGTCCCTGCTCGGGCCAACCTAGCAGTTTGAAAGCACGTCAAAGTGCAAGTAGATAAATTGGTACCGCTCTGGCGGGAAGGTAAACGGCGTTTCCGTGTGCTGCTCTGGTTTGCCAGAAGTGGCTTAGTCATGCTGGCCACATGACCTGGAAGCTGGACGCCAGCTCCCTCGGCCAGTAAAGTGAGATGAGCGCCGCAACCCCATAGTCGGTCATGACTGGACCTAATGGTCAGGGGTCCCTTTACCTTTATTTTACCACACAGGGTTGTTGTAAGGGGATAAAATTAAGGGGAAAGGAGAACCATGTTTGGTGCCTTCAGTTCCTTGGAGGAAAGATATGATATAAATATAGTAAATAAATGACATGATAGCTTCTCGCATAAAGACAACACTCAAGTTGAATTATACTTCCCCTGCCAAAAAAACTCTTGGATCGCCTATGGGAATTGCATGTCTGAAGGGGACACCTTGAAGGGGACACCTCCCTCACAAAGGAACTGAATGAATGAATGCATAAAATTTATACATCCCTTGATTGTAAAAAAAAAAAAAAACCCAAACCCTCTCAAAGCAGTTTTCAAAAGGTAAAACAGTAAAATCAAGAAAAATTCACAACCGTCCTTAAAACATCCAGAAGTTAAAATTGTTGGAATTATTTACACCGGACAAGAGGGTACACAGAGACTGAACATGGAGCCCGGCACGCTTCCGTTGCGGAACTCTGCAAGCTATCCGTGCCTCCTGCAAAAATCCTCCTCAGGCCTCTTTCTCTTGCCGGTAGCAGAGCGAAACACAGCGGTGAGAAGCAGAGTGCAGCACGTGTGGAATAAATCAGTCCAGACACAAGGCAGTCCTTATCTACTCTTGCCTTTTAATCATGAAGAATAACATCATAAATTCAGACCTGGCGAGAACTGACACATTCTCCCTTTCGCATCACGTCCGAAAGTCAGACTGAAACACACGGAGTCAAACCCCTCCCTTAAGTGTTTCTAACCACGCCTCAGGAAAGAGACGTCACCAGAACTCTTTAACTCTGTGAGTTCTGAAACCATTCACACCCCTCTCGTCACGAATCCTGAGGGGAAACTGTGAACCCCTATTTACAGACCTCTTTGAGTTCAACTCACCTCCCATTGCCTTTTGCCTCCCACTGGCATCCATCCCAGGCAATTGTTGAATCCCTTCCACACTCCCAGAATCACACTGTGCGAAACCAACCCACGCACTGGTGACCTGAAACCTCTCCGGTGGAATCCCCTTTGTGGTCCGAGTTGACCGCCGGAGCACAACCTCAGGCGCTCCTCCTGACCCACTGGGGTCAGCAAGTGTGTCTCCAGCAAGCTCAGAAGACTCCCCTCTGACTTGCTGCGTCTTCGGGCTTCCTGCACTTGGCTAACAGGAGATGAAGGCTCACTCTTGGGTTCCCTCTTAACCTGTGGAGAAACCCACCCCTGTGCTTGACCATCATCAGCAACCTGGTCTTCAGCAACAGGCTCCGCCTCTGCCTCTCCTTCCTCCCTTTCTTCCTCCTTTTCCTCCCCTCAGAATCGGACAAGCAGTCTGAGAGAAAATCAGAACCATACCTAGGCTGTGACCAACCATCCTGCTCAAAGAACTCAGCATGCTTGCTGACCAGCAGCGTGGTCTGATCACCCTCTGGGTATGCAAACTTCCACCCATTTGTTGCAGGATCATACCCACAGAAGATCATGTCCTGGTACCTAGGACCATCCTTCTTCCGTTGCGCTGTTGGTATTGGCACTGAAGCCTTGGAACCAAACGAACGGAAGAAATGCACCTGTGGCTTCCTCTTGTGCAACAGAAAATACGGTGTGTCACCTACATCGTGATTGTAGGACCTGTTAAAAACAAAGTTGGCAGCTTTCCAAGCTTCACTCCAAAAGCTCTGAGGCAGCCCAGAGTCACCCAGCAAAACTCTGACAGCTTCAGCCAGTGTTTCACTCCTGTGCTGTGCCACGCCTCTCCCTTGAGGAGACTTTGCACCCGTCACGTGGTGACGTATTCCTTTTTCCTTGAAAAACTCCTCCAGAGCAGACCCAGTAAACTGTGACCCTCGGTCGCTCTTGAACCCTTGCACCCTGGTGGAAAACCTTCGTTCCACCTCCGCAACCCAATCCTGGATCAGTTGCGCCGCCTCCCCCTGTGATTTGAGAGAGAAACACCAGCCAACCTGGCTGTGGTCATCTGTCAGCGATAGCACATACTTGGCCCCACCCAGACTCTCACACCTCATGGGTCCTGACAGATCTGTGTGAATCAACTCAAAAGGTTTTGTGGTTACCCTCTTTACCCCGGGAAACCTGCACCTTTGAACCTTGCTGCATGCCCTGCACACTAGGGATCTCTCACATGGTGTGATTTTACATCCTTCGGTGCAGCCTGGCAGCCTCTTAACATCCTCCAGACAAGCATGAGACATTCTCTTGTGCCATACATGAACACATGAATCATGGCTGGGAACACTAGCACACTGCGCCTGTGCTTTCCCTGCATTCCCACCACCCTCCAGAGGTGTTTCCAGAACAAAGAGATTGTCCTTGCTCTCCACGTTGACAAGTTGCCTCCCCCCTCTGAAGATGGAACAGGTGTTATTTTCAAAACAAATTTTGTATCCCTGCTTCGCCAGAGCAGAAACCGATAACAGGCAACACTTCATCCCTGGTACAATGAAGCACTCCAGCTCAGCCTGCAAAACAGAATTATAGACATTTGCCACTTTAGATACATTTCGTTTTTTTCCGTCAGCAAATTTACAAGTCATTCCAGTTAAAACAGCCCTGCAATTCTGCAGCTCCCCAGCAGATGGCGTTATCAGGTGATGACTCGCTCCTGAGTCCAGCACCCACTTCATAGTTGTGTCCCTGCTGGCATTGTTGTTCAAAGTTGCCAGAGAAGCCGCGAGATGATAACAGTCTCCCTTCTCTGAGTCACGTCCCTCCTTCGCGTTCCCACGCTGGCCTCCTCTCCGAGACTGGTTCCCATGAGAACTCAGCTGGTTGACCTTGGAGACATCCTGCCCGGCCTCTCTGCTCTTCTGCGGACAAGCCCGTTTTAGATGGCTGTTGGATCCACAGACATAACATCGACGAGTGGAAAAAGCCTGAACACAGCTCTCATCTGGCTTGCCCCCCACCTCTGCAACCGGTGGAGCTGCCTGCGCCAGACCTGCCTTCTCGGACACGCCTCTCCTGTTCGTCCGAAAGACGCCCTGTCACGTACGATAGCGTCAAATCCTGTGGACTCATCGATTCCATAGACAGACACAAATTGTCATAACTTTTGTCCAGAGAGCTGAGCAAAATATAAACCTTCAGCTCTTCTGAAAAGTTGACCTGTAACAGGCGCAACTCATTGAAAACAGAAAGCATCTCAGTAACATGCTGTCTGATGTTCCCACCGGGACGCAGCTTCATCTCAAATAAGCGTCTGGTGGTGTGGATCTTTGCACCAGCCGTGGTTCTGTGGTGCACCCTCTCAAGGGCTTGGTAGGCCTCCTGAGCAGTCTCAAGCCCTTCAACCAGAGGAAGTTGGGAACCCTCCAAACTGAGCACTATAGCTCCCAGGGCTTTCTGGTTTTCCTCTGCGACGCGTGAGCAGCCGCTATGTCCGCTGCTGCTGCTCCTGCTGCAGGTGGTGGGAGAGGGGCCCCTGGGTCGCCTCCCACAACCCCTTGGCTACCAGCCAGGCCTTTAGCTTCCGGCTCCATTCGGCCCAATTTTGTCCATTTAATTTCTCAAAGGGAACTGAGAATGATTCACGATCGTCTGCCATCTCCTCCCCCGGGCTAAGCTTACTCACGTCTCCCGGCAGTAGCTTCTCCGCCTCCCGGCTCCGGCAGATCGCTTCTCCCCAGCGAGCTCCTTCCAGCTTCAAAGACACAGCTCCAGAGCTCCAGCTGGACCCCAGCAACTTTCCTGCTGGCTTCCCCACACGTGGGACGTTCCTGCAATGCTTCAAAGCTTTGGCGAGCTTCCATAACCTGTTGGAATTATTTACACCGGACAAGAGGGTACACAGAGACTGAACATGGAGCCCGGCACGCTTCCGTTGCGGAACTCTGCAAGCTATCCGTGCCTCCTGCAAAAATCCTCCTCAGGCCTCTTTCTCTTGCCGGTAGCAGAGCGAAACACAGCGGTGAGAAGCAGAGTGCAGCACGTGTGGAATAAATCAGTCCAGACACAAGGCAGTCCTTATCTACTCTTGCCTTTTAATCATGAAGAATAACATCATAAATTCAGACCTGGCGAGAACTGACACATTCTCCCTTTCGCATCACGTCCGAAAGTCAGACTGAAACACACGGAGTCAAACCCCTCCCTTAAGTGTTTCTAACCACGCCTCAGGAAAGAGACGTCACCAGAACTCTTTAACTCTGTGAGTTCTGAAACCATTCACAAAAATACTAAAACTGATTAAAATTAACTCAACTTTATAAGCAATTGCATGAACAGGGCCAAAGGGAACCATTGCAATTCTCAACCCAACACAGGTGGCCTTGGTACAGGACCTGAAGATTGTGGTAAATTAAAATGGCGACTCAGGGCACTAGAGAGATGAATGCAGTGGCTCATGGACCCAGATGTCCACTGTTGGGGAGGGAGAATTAAAAGGAGGGCCAAGAACAAACCTCAGCAGGAGTCCCTGCCAGGGCAATGGCAGCTACCCAAAGGTGCTATGATCGGACACTAGGCCTGAGGCTTCCTGCAAAGTAGGCCTCAGGCATACCAAACAGCACCCAGAAGAGAGATCATCACTTTCAAGGAACAAGGACTGTTTCAAGAGATTCTGAGTCAGATCTAGGTCTGGTTCACACACAAATGTACAATACAGGCAACGACCAATTTACGCAGATCCAATTGACATGCCGTAACCTGGAAGTGGCTGGAAAAGTGGGCAGGGCAAAATGTGCGCTCCATTGGTGAGCATGGGGGTCAGGACTGTAAAGAGAACAGTTGTTGCCTGTACTTGATTTCTGGGTGTTGGTGAGCATCTGAGAAGGACCGGGAACTGATTGTGTGACCTGACTCCACTGAAAAGAAAGTAATGATGCCAGGTGAAAATGTTTTTCTATAACCAGGCCTTTGGCTGATTGAACATTTTATGGCCTTTAAAATGTGTTTAGGGGGGGAGTTATTAGGTGTTGTTATTACTATTATTACTATGTATTTTGGATTCTCATTTTGTATTTTAATGTATACAAATCGGAATAAATAAAGAAATAAAATGCAATGATCCACAAGTGCTTTCTCTCTCTCTCTCTCTCTCTCTCTCTCTCTCTCTCTCTCTCCCCCCCTCCGAAAGACCAGTGCCATCCCTACCATAAGGCAATGTGAGCTGTCCACTTCAGGCAGTAAATGTTTATGAGTAAGAAGTGGACAGATTTGTGTGTACCTTTTGGTCTGCCCTGTGCCTCCTAACCATTTCATTCATTTGAATTCCCTGAATTCCAGCTTTTATGTGATTTTGTACTACTGTTTTACTGCTTTTTCATTGTATATTTGTTTTAATGCTACTTTTTATTGTTTTCCTCTAGTGCACTACTTAGACATTTTTTAATCTTCAGCTATGTAAAAATGCTTCCAAACAAATCAACAAGTAAGCCTGGCCTGCTGCCCTCAGGTGCAGTGGAGCACATTATCCCATTGCCAGTGCTGAAGCAAGATTCCGCTGCCAGCTTCTGTATATGGGATATGGAGGGAGGTTCCTTCTTGCCCTTTGCCGCAGGCAGCAAAATGTCTTGGGCCGGCCCTGGCTGTGACAGCCCATCCCTACATCACTTTATCGAATGGTCCACCTGGAAGTGTGAACTAAGCCCCAAAGGCCTGGCCTTTTCTTGTTCCTGACCCGGTGTCAACTCAGCCTCAGATGGAACAGCCGAACTAGCATCTGGCCCTGCTAGGCAGTATTTTGCATTTACTCCACGAATATTCATGTGATAGCATTGTAGTAGCTCAGTTGTCACTTTCAATTAACCCCATTTTAAGGGGTTCCCAAGGTATGCTTTAATAACTCCGAAAGAGGAAATGCTAATGAAAAGACTGGGACACGTCTGAGTCCTTCTCTTGAAATAACTCTCATTTTTCAGTGGGATCAGGAATTCCGTATTTTTAAATGAAAAAAAAGTCTTTGTTTTTGTTTTAAAAAAATATACAACTCACGATGAACCTTCTCAAACACAATTTTATGTTTTTCTTTGACTTGCCCTATAAATACTTTTACTACAACATTCAAAGTTTATGAGATCTGTAAGACTTGTAAAAAGGTTGAGTAACTGGAAACCAAAGGCTAATACCTACCACAGGGACCTGGGGATTTTTCTTTATTTAAGAGAGAACCCAATTTATTCTATTAGTATTAGCAAAATATGTTTGGCCAGCAGTCTTTAAAAAGTTATAGCTTTCTTCCTATTTTCACAATGTGCCACTCGGTGAATACTAAGGAGTTCAGAAACAAACAGACCTAAACATTTGTTAAAACGAAACAAAAATAAATGAATTGTTCCCAGCCTAAAGGCTGGTGCTGTTGTAGGGCTTGATTCTCAAGCTGCAATGGAGTGCCATTTGCCCTGGAGCTGAGCTCCCAGAATTTAATTACCACGGTGCTCAAGTGTGAATCAGGCGCTTTGAATTTCAGCATCGCTGAATCATGGATATGTGCGGCGCTGGCTACATCGTTGTTGCAAGTAGCTCCGAAAACTCGGTTTTACAAGTTTCACTCCTGAGTTGAAAGGTCCACCCACAGAGAGTACATACAAATGGGCTTTCTGCAGAAGCCCCATTCAGGGACCAAAAATGGGAATCAACAAAATAGAATTCAGCAGCTAGGTTGCTCACCAGAGCAAGACGGTTTGAGCATATTACACCAATCCTGGTCTGACTGCATGGGCTACCAATTAGTTTCCGGGCCCAATTCAAAGTGCTGGTTTTGACCTATAAAGCTTTAAATGGCTCAGGACCACAATACCTCAAGGATCTCCTCTTTCCATATGAACCTACCCAGACCCTGAGATCATCTTCTGAGGCCCTCCTTCGTGTGCCTCTTCCTCGAGAGACCTGGAGGGTGGCAACGTGAGAACGGGCCTTCTCTGCAGTGGCTCCCCATCTGTGGAATGCTCTCTCCAGGGAAGTTTGCCTGGAGCCTTCATTATGCACCTTTAGGATTCGGACACATGAAGCTATGTTCTGTACCTTCGTAAATAAGGATGTAAATAAAGACTGTAAATATATCTCTTGAGTGAGCAGAGGTATTCCTTGCGAAAGGCTTCTAGACCCATCACAGCCACCAGAGTCCTAAGCCACTTGGGAAGCCTCCATGAGTAGAGGAGGCTTCACCTGTGCAGACATTCACCCTTGAACACACCCATGCACACTTTGCCCTCTTTTCATGCTTAGTTTAGCTTAGCCTCACTCTGAATCAAGAACAGGGCTTTGAGCCTGATCTCAAAAGTGGGGATGAGACCGCTTTAATAGGTTTAGAGGGAAATCTGTATCTCGGGACCTACAGAGGGCATTTGAGCATGCTGGATCCTTTAGGAGATTTTGATACAATGGATCATATTGAGGAACTTCCAGATTGTCCTTGTTTCCAGGTGGGATGAATCACATATTGGCAGATTCCGGTCATGAAGTTAAAGAGGATTTGGAGCACTTGTGCCAAAAGGGAAATGCACTGGAAAGATTGGGGTAGCATTTGCTTGACACAAAGTTGTCTAACTTCCATGCATGTATATCAGAATGAATGCTCAGTCGTCTAACCTTCCAGCAAACATTGTGCAAACAGATCAGGATGAATGCTCAACAACCAGATCACCTGGAAGTGACTTGATGGTTGGATCTAGTCGCTAGATTCCAGCAGGTGTGTGTAGGAAGTGGTTCTGCTTATGAATCCAGAGGGTGATGATAAGTAGCCATTCATTATTTTCTTGGGAGGCAGCTTGTGGAGTTCTAGAATTTCATTCCGTCTCCTCCTTCTCCAGGTTATAAATGACATTCCTCATAGACATAGTCAACATGTTTGGAGTGAAATACTGTATTGTAACATATGGATTGTGCCCAGTTCCATTCTCGCCTTGCCCCAACCCACACTGACCAAAGAAGGGTCAGCGGAGGTATGTTAAAAACAAATGAAATTTGTTGTTAGCATCACAGCTGCTGATTTAATCCTTCCACAAAGGCTAATCACAGACGTCAGGAAATGGGGCAGCATTTTCACATAACAATGATCAGGGCTGCCAACCTTGAGGGAACTGGTTGTTTGGACTGACACTACTGGGCCACACCTTGATGGTCTCCCAAACTTGCTTTCCCTTGGTGGAGCCTTCTCAGGCTCTGTCTGAGTGACTTACCTCATTGCCTCTTTCCCCACCGCCACCCATATATGGATGCAGTTTATCCTCTAACAACATACTGCTAAGACCAGGAAATAGTAAATGGTGTGTCATGTTTTATGTGCTGTTGCTCACTTTAAAACCTTGGGCAGAGGGTAAAAGGTGGGAGAGGGAGAGACTGATATCCTGCCATCACTTCCTTTGTCAGGAAAAAGAGGTAGCTCTATATTATATTCCAATCATCGTAACTAACTGAACTTGAACGGTAAGCCATCCCTCTGTCAGTGACGTTAAAAATGAACTCCCTTCGCTTCTGAAATATGTCACTTAGGTCTGCTTAGCTTTAAGGCCTAACTGTGTGTTACTTGGTTGCCTCAGGGACCCCCTGCGCTTCCCTGACAATGAAAGAAGTATATAGCACCATTGTATTCAGCCTCTGCCTACCCCATGTAAGCAGAAGCTGATAAATTGAAGTGTGATGGGGACAAACCATGATGGATGGTATTGTTGGATGATTCAGGACAGTACTTTTCCCACACAGCACATTGTTAAACTCTGGGATTTGTCCCCCCAAGAGGTAGTGATGGCTACCAACGTGGATGGCTTTGAAAGAGGATTAGATAAAGTTAATGGACTATGAAGAGATGGCCAAGTTGACAGCAAAAAAATAAGAGATCAGAAAGATGAGAGCTTTGTCAAAGAGTGGAGGTTCTTTTCGAACTATTTGAGGGGGGCAGAACTATAGCCAAATGAAATCGTGAGCAGGATTTGAACAGGCAAAGGAAGGAGAATAAAGAAATGATTATAATGTAAGTTATAACTGCAATAGAAAATAAGGGGCAGTTATGGCAGCAGACAGGGACACAGGTGGCGCTGTGGGTTAAACCACAGAACCTAGGACTTGCTGATCAGAAGGTTGGCGGTTCGAATCCCCACGACGGGGTGAGCTCCCGTTGCTCGGTCCCTGCTCCTGCCAACCTAGCAGTTTGAAAGCACGTCAAAGTGCAAGTAGATAAATAGGTACCACTGTGGCAGAAAGGTAAACAGCGTTTCTGTGCGCTGCTCTGGTT